ACAAGAAGGAAGCACTGACTGATACGGATAGTGACGGAAGGAAGGATGGGGTGTTGAACCGCGTCCGCACGTGTTCGAGAAGGGTCTGTAACCAGTAAAGCAAGCGCGAGTCTGACATTAATTACAGCCGAGGAAAGTGCCCATATTAGGAATGATGCCATCTTTGTTAGAACAACCAGTTATTAGTGCCTGCCGTAGAAGACGGAAAGAAGCAGTGCGGACTACCTTACTTTTGCTAAGGTATGGATGGTGCTAATGCATGAGCCTCCCTCCAAGGGAAGCAAGTTTCTTTTCTTCTTTCCTCCTGCGGCTTCTAGCTTATTTTTAAGATCAGTTTAAATTGCAGCGTTGAGAGATAAGGCGTCGAGATCTCAGATACACAACTGGAGTCACCAAATATAGTCATATAGAGCAGTATATATGTATACCTCACGGTTACCGGCACTAAGAACGCATGCCAGTTACAGAGCTTAAAGGCAGTCTAGTCTATCACATGGCCAGAGACCATGGCCTTTAAAGATAGACTTGACGATAACTATGCTACATCCTACTGCCACAAGTGACAAACGCATTGAGATGTCATTTGGACCCTGGCGACAAGACCTGACCGAGACCTGCCTTAGCTGCGGCTGTAAGGTCAAGGCCCGATGTATGAGACTGCAAGACTGAGGCGAGGCCGGGGTGGCTTGGCCCCCCTTTCGGAGCAATCGTCCAATTCTCTTAAACAACAGTAAGAGCCTCTTTTCGCCTAACACAGTAGCGATAACACCATAGGGGTTGAATGGCACGTATGGATAATGGTGGTGATGGTACTCCTACTGGATCTGTAAACGGCCGGAAGGGCTGCAAGGTACGGATACATGTACAGCCGCCCAAGGGGACAAGAGCTGCATGAGATGCAGTCCAATGTAATATCGAGTGCCTGCCACAATATAACGCTCGTGAGTCTCATTAGGACTAGGTGGTGGTAGTGCTCTTGAAGGTATCCATAGCGAGCGGGACACTTTCATGAGGGTTCATTGACAAGAGTCAAGCATCGCTTCGCAGGTCTACAGTCCGGTACCAAGACTCAGTTGATCTTCATAGCTCTTGCTTTGCTGAGCTACGCAGAAACGACCTTCCTAACTCTATCTGCAGCGCCATCGCCGTCGTCCGACCTGCTCAAGAGTCAAGCCTCGCCCATTGTAATACTTCAAGGTTCTGAGGTGAGAGAATGAGAGGAGCCAGATGCCGTGGTACCTTACCTTAGTCACGTCGTTGGTGAGATGCCAAGGACCAGAACGTGGGTGAGCGGGCAGAGCTTGATTTGCGGCCCCTATCCAAGATTGGCAGCACTAATATTAGTCCCATCGGAGCCCCTGAGAGGGTGGCGTACCACGCAGTCGCATCCACGCTTGCCACGGCCGACGCTGGAGTCTGGAGTCTCTGTCAGGACAAGTGGCCCCCCCTCCATCCTGCTCTCTCCCTCACAGTTGCAGAGTGGGACCTGGGTATCTTCTCTCTGTACCAGGTACATGCGGGTTGCGCTCCGGCCAAGGTGCCAACACCTTCTTAGCGGGTAGACTGCTCCACTCTACCAAGTATCCGTGACTGTACATCGCCTGCCGGATCCTGGATTGGGCGGGCTTGATCGCGTCAACGTGAACCTCAATTTCCAGAACAAGAGCAGGAGCAAGGAGAGAGAGGGTACCTACGCAACTACACACGTACCTACCACACAGTATGCGGTAAACACACCATAGAAAAGGGAAAGGAAGAGGCAGAAGAAAGAGAGAGAGAGAGGGGCGGGAAATACCTACGAATACACTACAGACGAGGAAATCGATTTTTTTTTCCTCTCACGCCCATCGCTGCTAATTGCCGGGGGGCATCCATATCTTTGCTGCACTACAACCTCGCCTACCCACCCCCCTTCCTCTTTTTTCTTTCTTTCTTCCCCTTTCCCTTTCCAACACCCTCCAAACAGCCGCTGTCCTCTTTTTTCAGACCTCTATTAAACTCTTCCCGTAGGGTCGTGGTTGTCAAGAGCTTCCTACTTCCGGTTTCTCCTTTCGATTCTCCTTCCTTCATCACAGGTTACAGATTCACAAAGCCGTGCTCAGCCCCATTCCAAGGTTTGAACCGGCTCAGGTACCACCACAGGTGTCCGTTAACGTCTAACTTTGGGACCCCCCATTGCATACTGTTAAAGCACCCGTCGCCTACCCCACGACACCTTTAACGAGTTGCTTGGCCGTCCCGTCCACTCGCTCGCTCTCGTTTTTGCGCGTCTCGTCTTTTTTTGCCCTCGAGCTGTATCAACTTGCTCCTGCATCAACATCAACCACCACTACCGACGACTTCAATCAATCCTCCGTCCACCTCAACCCCTCGTCCCCTACTTCCTTTCCCCCATTCCGCACACCAAACCGTCACAATGGGTGCCGACGAGAAGACGCGCGTTTCAGGCGAGGTTCCTCGTGGAGAGAACGGCTCTATCCTGCCTACCACGAACCAGGACGCCGAGAAGTCCTCTCCTCAATCCAAGGGTCCTCAGATCCATCCCGCTCTCTACGTCATGTAAGAAACCAGAGTCTTGAATTTCTGCTGCTGCGACAGTTAGCTGACCCAATCCTCTCGCAGTGTCTGGATCTCGCTGTCCTCATCCGTCATTCTGTTCAACAAATGGATTCTCGACACCCTCAACTTCCGTAAGCCGACCGAGACGAAAGCCTGGAGCTTTGGACAGCATGCTGATTGACCACAGGCTACCCGGTTATTCTGACGACCTACCACTTGACTTTCGCAACCATCATGACCCAGATCCTCGCTCGCTGGACCCACGTTCTCGACGGACGCAAGTCGGTTAAGATGACTGGCCGTGTCTACGTGCGTGCCATCGTGCCTATCGGTGTCTTCTTCAGCTTGAGCTTGATCTGCGGTAACTTGACCTACCTGTATCTGTCGGTCGCTTTCATCCAGATGCTCAAGGCCACGACCCCCGTTGCTGTCCTCCTCTCTGGATGGGCCCTTGGTGTCTCTACCCCCAACCTCAAGGTCTTCCTGAACGTCTCCGTTATCGTTGTCGGTGTCATCATTGCTTCGATTGGCGAGATCAAGTTCGTCTGGATTGGTGTCATCTTCCAGATTGGTGGTGTCATCTTCGAGGCCCTGCGTCTGACCATGGTCCAGCGCCTGCTTAGCTCTGCCGACTACAAGATGGATCCCCTCGTTTCCGTCTACTACTTTGCTCCCATCTGCGCTGTCATGAACTTGGCTGTTGCTCTCATCTGGGAGATTCCCAAGGTCACCATGGACCAGGTGTACAACGTTGGCCTGTTCACTTTCTTCCTGAACGGTCTCTGCGCCTTTCTGTTGAACGTCTCTGTCGTCTTCTTGGTAAGTTTTGATGTCTCTGAAATCGGCCAATCATTGTTGCTAACTCTCTCCAGATCGGCAAGACCTCTTCCCTGGTCCTGACTCTCTGCGGTGTCCTCAAGGACGTCATGCTGGTTGCCGCCTCCATGGCCATCTGGGGCACCCAGGTCTCTGGTCTCCAGTTCTTCGGATACAGCATCGCCCTCGGTGGCATGGTCTACTACAAGCTCGGCTTTGAGCAGATCAAGGGCTACATGGGTGAGGGCGGTCGCCAGTGGGCCGAGTTCGGCCAGCGCAAGCCGATTCTTCGCAAGCTTACCATCATCGTGTTCTCCGCCTTCGTGCTCTTCACTATGCTTGGTGGCCTTGCACCGACGTACGCTCCCGAGTACGACCCCCACAACCTCATCAACGAGGTCAACAGCCACTTCGGCAGCAGCAGGGCATAGGTTATGGGATAGAAGGCGATAGCATCTTTTCTTTGGCCTGTCATTTTCCTATTTGTGGGCGTAGAGATGTGATGATACCAAACTCTCTACGCGACGATTACCCTGTTCTGAGTACATATTACGAACTTCCTTTCAACCGTGTGCACTGTTGACCTCTTTTTCTTTTTTTTTTTTAATCCGGAAAACGGAACCAACTTTTGTTTGATTGGGGAGTTACACCCGTGTACAGCTATAGAGCAACGGCGCAGAGCGCAAAAGGGTTAAGGTTGCATAGCTTGCATCATGAAGTTCTAATCTCATGTACTCTAGACGGAGGAGGATATAGACATGTACGTACGCAATGATACACAAAGCTTAAAGCAAAAGATGGCGGTAGTTCGCAACGAAATGGCCGGTGACATGCGAGGCGATGTGCGCGGGGTTCGAAGCTTGCATGCCAGTGGTGTAGAAATACATCGACTCGGCTCACTGAAGACCATTTGCTAGGCATGCCAGACTTAGGTACGCGAACGGAACCTTCGACCAGTAAGACTGTTTCTGGCGTATAATTAATGCCCCCAGCTATTGTGACGTATCAGGCCAGAAAACAACATCAGGTGGCCAGCATCGAATCAGGTGCCATTCATTGTTCTCGAAGAGAGTGCTCAATCTAAACGGCGACGGTCTCATCATCTAACGTAAGTCGTGGTTTCAGCAATTCGGTCTTGGCTTGTAATAGAGGGTTGTGTGGGTGGGTTGCAATATTTTGTGCAACAATTGATGTGGGTCGCACAGCACCTGAGCCGGTGGACATCCGAGCATTGATACGTGAAATTGAAAGCAAGCACCCAGCATAGGAGGACCATGGCAATTATCACGACTCGACTTGGCTGGAAAAGTTGATTTGACTTGCTTATTTCATGTTCCATTGATCATGGCCATCCCACGGCCGAGGGCTGAATCATACCCATCAGTCATCATAGACCCTTGACCCCTTTTTAATCTCATCTTCTTTTGTGTCTATCACTCTTCCGGTCACAGCAGCAGCGGCGGCATTTTTTCCATGTTGTTGAGGTATCACAGGGCAAACGTCTTGGATTTCAATGGTTTCTCATTGGGAGCCCTTAAACCGAGGACCTCAGATGCCAATTGATGCTCTTTACAAGCCAGCCCAACTCCCCGACCTGTTGACGATTGCAGAAAACGGTTTGTCCTTTAAAATCCTGCGCACATGATGTTAGTACATGGACGAACTACCAGTAGCCGACGCGTAGCCTCTGTCCCGTGGGGAGGGCAAATCCCGGAGGCAAGATAGCACACGATCGATATGGGGAGGGGGGGTGACATACTCAGAGGCGTGAAGAACCATCTGTTCTTTCCGCTCGTGTAACGCTCCTCCAGAACCTTCTTCACCTGCTTCTTGGCATCCTCACGCTGGGTGACCTCCTTGAAGGTGTCGTTGCTGACGACGCCCTTGAGGCCCTCGAGCTCGAGGGTGTAGCGGGTGGGCATCAAGTGGTTGTAGTTGACAAGCTTGACGAAAGGCTTGATCTTGTTGCGCTTCTCCTGGCGAGTCTTGGACATGCGCCGGGTGATCTTGGAGGGGTAGCGCTCGATGCCGGCGACCAGGGCGTGACCGAAGGGGTGAGCCTTGTTGCCAGAGTCGACAGGCTGGATGATGACGACCTGCAGAGAGGAGCGTTAGCAATCGCTCGAGATTGTTGAATACGTTATGTGTGGGCATCATGGCCCGACACAATCAACCTGTGTCCTCCTCCGCAGCAAATTTCGTGAATGCCGTCAACCCAAATATCGAACGCTCGAAGAGTGTAAAAGTGTTTGGTCGGACCGTTGTTTCCTCCTGTTCTTTTCGCAATTCGTAATCGGTTCGTATAGTCGTCGCCATGATTTCCTTCCCAGTATTCCCTGACCAAACACTTTCACACTCCTTGACGTCGATGTTGGGTGGTCTTCATCCGCGCCCCTCCTTCTCGCGAAGTCGGGGTGAAAATTGTACTGTGACGGGGTAGGCTTTCTCGAGAATTTTCGTATATAATCGTACCTTCTTGCCGGCGTAACGGCCGTGGGTGATGATGGCGACTCTGCCGACCTTGAGGAACTTCATTTTGACCTGCGCTGTCGGTGGGTGCTGGGCGTACTGGGCGGTTGGTGAAAGTTGCTGCGACGTGAGATCCTGGATTTGATAACCTAGAGGAAATTTCAAAATTGATCCGTGGGAGGGAGGGACCTAAGCATGTGCCCGGTCACGTGGTCGAAATTTTACTGGGGAATAGGCGAATCAATGGTGGTGGGTGGTGCTGGAAGTGGGGGCGGTTGGCAATGGAAGGACGCTTCCACTGACCGGCGTCCGCGCTGGAGCTCTACTGGACGGTGGTAGAAGTACCGTGTACGGCCCTCAATCTGCTCCACTCCCTAAGCTGACCACGGAGCTCATCGCGAACTTCCTCCGATCCATTTCAACAACAGCCCAGCTTTACCACGCTCCACGAACGACGATACCTAAACGCGCACATCATGGCTGCCCCTCCTGCATACATCATCTCCAAGGTCGCGGACCCCATCTTTGCCCTGGTGATTGGACTCGGTGCCGCAGCGACTAGAATTAATCGCGAGGAGAAAGAAAAGGGCAAGACTACGCAGGAAACCATTGCGGCGGCAAAGAGGTATAGTGCCTATCAGCAGTACACTGGTGCGAGCCCTAACTAATTGAACTGGATGTCTAGACGTCTAGGGCTTCTCAAGGCTTCTGCATAAGCACTCATAGTCACAGCCACTGGCAAGGGAGGAGATGCGACGCCTCAACCGCATTTGCTTGCATTCACAATTTGTTGATACTCTATATACCCTTTACTCTCCATAGGACGGCCCGTACTCCTTCTTCATCGCTTCCCGAACCATCTGTCCGCACAGCTTCGCCGTGGGATTCGTGCTCACCGCCAGACCCTTGGCGATCTCGTTACCGAATCTTCCGCCATAGGCAAAGTCCCGAGACGCCGCCTCCTCGAACACAAGCTTCGTCCAGCTAGCTTCTCGCCTCCCGTCCGCGACCTGCACGCTGTGCTCCTCTACGAGCTTGGCAGTCATGTGGTAGATGGCGGCGCGCTGCGTGTACGCCAGCGACAGGGTCTTGGCTGCCTGAGGCGACATGGCGCCGAACATTGTGCGCGGCGTCAAGAGGAAGATGGACTTTTCAATATCTTCCAGGGCGATCTTTGAGTACTGGATCAATTCGGTGCTTTCGGGCGCCCGTACGAGCCGCTGCGGCGTGGATGGTGCTCCCGCCAACAGCATTGTGTCTCCGTACAGCCGTCTCAGCGCCTGTACGCGGTTATTCCTCGCGCTGGCATAATTTGGGTACTCCTCGATAAAGTCGTTCAGCTTCGAAAGAAGACCTTTGTACTCTTGTACCGGTTCGGATACAGTTCTCGGCCGCAATTCTGCCAATTGAAGTTCGAGCTGTTGCATGGACAGAATAATCTCGCGCTCCTTCTGTATCACTCGCTCGTAGACGGCGGCATCAGCGATGTGAGGATCCCGGGGCAGGGATGGGTCGAGGAGGACGTTCGCCGAGGGGTCGGATTCGGGGTCCTTGATCTTGTCAAGGACGTTAACGTCTCGTCGAGACAGGTCCACAGAAGCCATCTTGCAGTGTTGGATTGGAGATTGATCGGTTTTGGGAAGAAATACTGATGTTCTTTGTCGAAGGAACAGATTCGAGATAAATCGAACTTTTTTCGATGCGTGACGATTGACCGACTACACGTTTTTCCGATCTCAAAAGTGACTTTCACCGCCAGGACTGGCTGGCAGCACGGCAACCTTTATCAGACGCAACACTTTCCGAGCGGCTCCAGCGGGGGGGGGGCGAGCAGCATATGCTCACATTCCGCACTGCGACGGCTACGAAAGGGTTTCAGAGGCGATGAGATAAGGCACATGCCGTCATGGTGGGTACCCCACCCATCCCCCAAGCAGAGAGCCCAGACGTTCCCCAGGATGAACGGAAACAGCGGCTTGGTCGCCTGTGCCCTCCTATTCTTTGTATTCCAGGTTGGATCTGGGAGCTGCTGGGCGGGATGGCGGGCATAGCCTGGAGCATCCGAAGCATGGTGGGGAACCCGTCAAAGCCGCGCCGCACATGGGCCGGCCAGCGGCGGCTTATCGCGGCTCACCGCGGCCATCACACTCGGCCGGCGCCTTTCCGCTTGCGATTGGCATCTCACCTCAACGCTGTACCGCCGGCTCTACGCTTTACCGCTGCCAACCTCTCCTTCTACTTCGGGACGCTACTGCCAGGTATCGAAGCCATTCCAGGATGGCGCCGGTCCTGTCACGAATTGCCTATGCGCAAGGACTGTGGACAGAGACAGGATCCAGAGACTACCCCCGCCCGGGAGGAAAGGTCAGCCAGTGGCAAGCGTTAGATGCGGCGACGGGGAGCCACCAATCTGCGGGCATGGAATGCAGGATTACTCAAGTCCTTGTCTTCCAAAGGCGGAAGTCCGTCAATGAATAAGGTTCACATCTGATAATACAGTGTCAGTGTCTTGGTACATATAGAATGGACGGTACGACGTACATAACACGGCCATCTCCCCCTCCTTTTCCTCAACGAGCAACGTATACAATCTCACTAGATTAACCATCGACTCTGTCTGCCTCTTATCAGAGAATCCCAACGCACTTACACTCACCCATACCTCCTTGACCCTAATCCTGTCACCCCCGAAAACTTCTGAGTGTCAATGTCCCCTTCTGCCATCATAGACTCCCCGCCACAGAACGCCGCCTACCCGGCATCAACAGATCTCGGCGATGGACTCGCAGTACAGCATCCGCCGCCCAACTTCCAGGGCTACGATCACGTAACCTGGTGGGTTGGCAATGCCAAGCAGGCCGCTGCTTACTACACTACTCTCTTCGGCTTCAAAACCGTAGCATACAAGGGCCTTGAAACGGGCAGCAGGTATATCGCCTCGTACGCCGTCGCCAACAACGACGTCCGTTTCGTCTTCACCTCCCCGGTGCGATCCCTGGCCCACCTCCCCGAGGATGAGCCCATCTCAGACGCGGAGCGAGAGCTCCTGCGCGAGATTCACGCTCACCTCGAGAAGCACGGCGACGCCGTAAAGGACGTCGCCTTCGAGGTCGACAATGTCGAGGGCGTATACAACAAGGCCGTCTCAGAAGGCGCCGATGCTGTTCAGCCTCCAACCGTCCTCAAGGACAAGGAGCACGGCAACGTCCTGACCGCCGTCATCCGCACCTACGGCGACACGACACACACGCTCATCTCCCGCAACGGATACTCGGGTCCTTTCCTCCCGGGCTTCCGCGCCGCGAAGCCCACCACGGCCACCGTCACGCTCTCCAACGTGCCCCTGGCCCGGATCGACCACTGCGTCGGCAACCAGTCCTGGAACGAAATGGTTTCCGCCTGCGCCTTTTACGAGCAGTGCCTCTCCTTCCACCGCTTCTGGTCCGTCGACGACTCGCAAATCTGCACAGAGTTCTCGGCCCTCAACTCCATCGTCATGGCCTCGGCCAACAACATGGTCAAGATGCCCATCAACGAGCCCGCGCCCGGCAAGAAGAAGTCCCAAATCGAGGAGTACGTCGTCTTCAACTCGGGCGCCGGCGTCCAGCACATTGCCCTCCTGACCCAGGATATCATCACCACCGTGTCGGCCATGCGCGCCCGCGGCGTCGAGTTCATCAACGTCCCCTCGACCTATTACGACACCATGCGCCACCGCCTCAAGACGGAGAAGCGCAACTGGGAGCTCAAGGAGGACCTCGCCACCATTGAGGCGCTCAACATCCTCATCGACTACGATGAGCAGGGATACCTGCTTCAGCTCTTCACTAAGCCGCTGATGGACCGCCCTACCGTCTTTATTGAGATTATCCAGCGCAACCACTTTGAGGGTTTCGGCGCCGGTAACTTCAAGAGCTTGTTCGAGGCTATTGAGCGCGAGCAGGCCGAGCGTGGAAACCTGTAAAGCAGAAAAAGCTAGTTAAACCAAGTTAAACCCATTTCAGTGTGACAATTGTTCCTATCCACACTCGTGCTTGTGTCGAATGTGAGGCTATGATGCTCATCTCTCAGCCAGCCAACTTCTTGTTGAGGGGGTTCTGCAGGGTACGATAGGTATATTTAAAAACATGGTCTTTACCCGGACCTCTTGCGCCGATATACTCTTTTCACCAATTCCGGTGCTCCGTTGATGCTGTCATCCGTTTGTCCAAATGCAAATTGCCGAATGTTGGCCAACTCTGGCCAGAGCGCTGTTCTCTTTCTTAGTCTCCCCTGCCACGGGAGCTCCACGTCTACTCCAAGATCCGCCATCCCATATTCCGTTTCCCATATATCTGTTAATGTCATGAGTCCACCACCATGGCCGTTCCATTGGTTTGATGCTCATGGGTCCCATTCGTCTCATTAATCACCTCCATCGCCGCCCCACGGGTGTCACTTTGGCATCCAGGGCAGTTGTGAATGACCTCATGCGCGTAAACGTCGCAGTCAATGCAAAAGTGATTGTCGCACACCGTACAGGCATACCGTCCGCTTTCGCTAACCCCCTTCAGCTCTGCCGCTTTCACGGGGGTCGGGGCGACGGGCCCTGTCGTCGTAGCCACGCCATCTTGGTCCTTACCCTTATCCTTCTTCTTGGAGGCCTTGGGCGGTTCCGGGAAGTTGGTGAGGCACGAGTAGCATGCTTTTGACTTGGCGGCTGCGGCCCAGGGGACCTCGATCCAGTTCCTTAACGGGAAGAGATGGTGGTATGAGCGCGCGAGATGGGTGGAAAGGATCAGAGTCAAACTACAGGCAGGGCACTCGATGGGCAGACGACACACGCGGGTAGCGCAGCGCGTGCAGAGGTAGCCTTCGCGGGCGGGTTTGTTATGGCAAGCGCATACGGCTGTCGTCTCGCCCTGCGCGAGGGTGCGAGAGGGAAAGCCCATCATGAGCAGAGAGGCGGTGCTCTGGGCGGCCGTCCGGGTGACGGGCGGGGTCGTGGCGGCGAGGAGGAGATCGCGGAAGTGGGCATCGTTCATGCAGACGCTATACTGTGTGTCGTCGCCAGCATTGGTGCGAGT